ATGCAGTGCATTGTTTATAATATAATATAATATCTAACATCTCATACCAAATATCAGCTTTAATGGAAAGGTGGAAAACATTCTGCCCTCATTCAACCTGTTATTGTGCACAATGGACTAGGTTTAATTATTACAACGTATTAACAATGCATTGGTTAGCAGTATGTTTACTAACCAATGCTGCCCCTGAGACCTGGTCCCGGATAAGCGGATGAAAATAGATAGATGGATGGATTATTCAAGTGTGAAAGGCAAAGAGGCTTGCGCTGCAAAGGCTGAACAAAGACAAAAAGCCTGTGTGAACAACATCATCACATCAAATAATAGCCTATAGAGGGGCACTCAGAGGATGCAGATCTCGGTGAAGGCCAATTCAAGCACAACCAAAAATGTCTGGATGTTTCCAAAACTTGTTTTCAAAACTGGGCTCTGAGAATCATGTCAAAAGATTGTACCTATAGCTGAAGCCTCATCATCTCAGCTGTGCATTTATTATGTGCTGCTAAACTGGAAATATTTATTTTTTCTTAACATCTCTTGTAGAGTTTATTGCAGACTGTAGTAAAGATTTTTCTTTTTTTTAATCCTTAGCCACACCTGAAAGGAGTACTTCACCCGCAAAATGACTTGTTTATCAATTACTCACCAGGTATTACCTTGAGATGGTGAAGAAACATTCTCACTGGCCTCCACGACCAACAGAGAATCCAAAAAGGTGAACATTCCTCATGAATTAAGGTACACAGGGATCACATTTAACAATGGTAAAACTGTATGAAAACACTCCGTTTACAAACTCTCACACAACTCGTGCAGTATAATCCAAGACTCATTTATACAGTCGTAGCTCAGCACTTCCCAAACACATGCATCATCACTAAATATGTACTATATCTAACATTTATTTTGCTGAAATAACAGGGGAATATAATCCTGGCAGGTACAAAATCAGTATTGCCAAATAATGTGTCCACTCTATAACTTTGTCTTTGGAGACCTACAAGTCAAATGCTCGTTGCTCATTTTGGACTGTTTTGATGGAACAGTGTGAATTAATTAACTACACTTATAATTTCTATGCATGTAATATCAACCTGGTCTGGAGGGAGGACGTATACCACTGCTGAATAATGTATACACATTGTAGCTTTATTTCTGAAGATAAATTAAATGTAGTTATCAGCACAATTTTTTTGGTCCATTTTTGGCTTATAGGGAAACCACGTAGGATGATCAGTTTGTAAACACACTCGCCAGCAAAAGTGAAAGTAAAAGCCAACCCTATAGTCACTCTATACACTCAGAACATACAGTACAGAGGGATGCAAGAGTTTTGGCACCCCTGGTCAGAATTTTGTTGACTGTGAATAGTTAAGTAAGTAGAAGATGAACTAATTTCCAAAAGGTATGAGGTTAAATGACAAATTTCTTCAATATTTCAAGCAAGAATGTTTTTTGGATGTCAGTCCTACAGTTTCAAAATAACAAAAGGAAAAAATCTGAAGAAAGTTTGGGCACTCTGCATGGACAGTACTTAGTAGTGCTCCTTTGGCAGGTATCACAGCTTCTAAGAACTTTTTGTAACCAGCGAAGGGTCTTTCATTTCTTGTTTTTTGGGGGATTTTCTCCAAACATACCTTTGCTCACTGCATCAGAAAGTTCTATTTTCACTTCATCAGTCCACAGGACATGTTTCCAAAAAGTGTCAGGCTTGCTTTGAAATTTGCCAGCTTTGAAATTTGCATCAGGTGGCCTTTGCTAAGGATGACTGTGAACAAGGCAGAGCCCTAACAAGCCAATCATGGTCTGACACAATGTTAAAAGTTGTCTGAGAACTCAAATGTCTTTGGGTGGCCAAACTTTTGCATGGTGCTCCTT